AGCTGGAGCCTCCGGATGCTCCCCATGGGGAGCCCCATGTAAAGAGCATTACAGTAGTCCAGGCGAGAGGTGACGAGAGCCTGAGTGACTGTGCGCAAAGCGTCCCGGTCCAGAAAGGGGCGCAACTGGTAAATCAGGCGCACCTGATAAAACGCCCCCCTGGTCACGGCCGACAAATGATCTTCCAGTGTCAGCCGTGTATCTACTCATCAGGTGTCTACATGAACAAATATTCACCATCTTGATACTTTTCTAGTATCTACCTCTATAGCAGGCTGTGGTAAAATAACATTTTGAAAAAAATGCCATAACAAAAGTTGTAGTTTGAATGAATTATGCAGCCTAAGCATGTTTTGAACTTATGAAAAAGTCTGTGCTTTATAGAAAATTTAAAAATGCTGTCTTAAACTTAACTCGGCATTTCATTATTAATATTTCCCCCCATTAATATAGGATTTTAGGATGCATACTGACTGCATCATGCTCCATATTGCAGAATAATAATGTTCTACTACTTCTTGTCCCCAATGTGTAAAGAGCCCCTTTAAAATTGTTGTATTACATGGAGGTGAGTTTATGGAATATTTGCTTTTTTGGGGGATGATGTATTTGTTCCAGTAGCAGGTTTGTTTTTTTTTGTTTTTTTAAAAAGATTAGATTAGATTAGATTTACAATTTAGAGGTCATCTGACTCTGGGCAGCTTTCAATTAAAAAACTAGGAACAGTATAACAGAAGAGATAACTCATGAGCAGCCCAATGATAAACATGTAAACCATACTGTATCTGACAAGGGCTAAACCATCACCCTGCTCCAAAGCTGCTGGAAGAACAGCAAATGTTTAATAGGTTCCGTAACATCATCGGACTGGGAGCTATCCAGATCTCTTGGGGGATATTATTCCAGAGGGCAGGCTTATTATTATAAGCTCCAACTCCCAGCAGTGTACAGCATAGCATAAACAGTATAAACAAGCACTAAATTAAAAAATAGTAATAAAAAAATTCATTGGCACCTAGCCTAAATATCAAACAACCGGGAATAGCTAACCCTCAAAAGCCTTATTTATTTATTTTTAATTTAAATTAGTTTAATTTGATTAATAATTAAAAAAAACACTTCAAACCAAACTCTAGGGTACCTCACAATATAATAAACCATAAAAACATATTACAGAACAAAACAAGATGGGATTCAATCACTTTGTACAAAAACATGGGAAAAAACCCATATCAAGTGAGGAGGTTCATATGTCTTAACCCATCCACTAAGAGAATAGCCAAGTGTTCAGCCTTAAAGAATGTCAAC